AACACACCCATACAATTTTAAGTTCTATGTAGCTTGACATGTTTTGTGATTTAATGTTTAGTGTCTTCTGGCTGACAACATTGGTTGACTCCCTGTTCAATGCTTATGAATACAGAACACATTTTTAGGGCAAAATCTGATTAAAATTTGTGTGGTCATGACATGAGCTCAGATCTCCAAAATACCCGAGGGTTATTATTAGCAAAGAATGAATAAGATTAGAAAAGTGATTTTGCAGATGAAAGGCTGTGTGGGTGATATGTGTTCTGGTTCATGACACACTGGAAGCAGTACTGGGGAAAGTGAGTTCTGTACTGTTGGGATGGTCCTTTCATGAATTGTGCTTGGAAGGTGGGGAAGGGAAGGGATCAAGCTTGATTAAATGTAACAAATCTAAGGATAGAGTCAAGGCAGGAGAGCAAACTAATAACGTGAAAAATGAAGATCAGGCAATAGCAGGAACAGACAGAGAGAGAGAGCCTAAAACTATACCATCAGTCAAAACAAGATGCTACAAAGATAATAAAACTGAAGGCCATATATCTGAATGTGCGTATTATTCATAACAAAGTAAATAAGTTGATGGCACACACTGAAGTGAGTAAATATGATCTAATAATTGTTATAGATTTGTGACTGCAGAATAACGAGGACTGGGTTTTGAAGATTGAGAATATTTGACGTTGAAGAAGAGTAGAAGCAGCTGCACTCTTGATCAAAGATCATGATATAGAATCACTTTAGGGGGAGATGAGAAATAGTAGGTGTGGAGGTCACTAGTGAAAGTGATCTGCAGTCTCCCAAATACGATGACAAAAGAAGTATACAAGAAGAAATATTGGGTGCTTGTGATAAAGAAACAGCAATAATCATGAGTGACATTAAACTGCACGTAAAAGGGGAAAATCAGAAAGGAAGTAATAACAAAGAGAACAAAGAACAATACAACATAGGAATGGGCCCTTTGGCCCTCCAAGCCTGCGCCGAAACATTTTGCCCTCCATACTGAAACTGTCTTCACTTGCAGGATCTGTATCTCTCTATTCCCTTCCTATTCATGTTTTCGGCCAGGTGCTTATTGAATGCTGCTATTGTGTCTACTTCCACCACCTCCTCTGTCAGTCTGTTCAAGGTACTCACCACCCTTCGAGTGAAAAACTTGCCTCACACCTCTCTTTTAAACTTCTCCCCTTTCTGCGCCATGCGCCATGAACCTGTGTCCTCCAGTAATTGACCCCTCCACCCTGGGAAAAAGCTTCATACTTATTGAGGAGTTTGTAGAATGCGTTTAAGATTGTACTGCTTTAAAAAAATTCCTGAAACTGATCAGAGAGAAGACTCTACTATATTTGGTATTGTGTAATGTGGCAGAATTAATTAATTAGCTCAGAGCTAAGGCACCCCTACGTAGGAATGAACTCAGTATGCCTGAATTTTACATCCAGTTTAAAAGGGAGAAGATTAAGTCTTAGACTAGTATTTTAAACCTAAATAAGGACAACTATGCAGGCATGAAATCAAAGTTATCTGATGTATAGAAGCCTACAAGGCTAGGAGATAGATCACTGGATGCAGTGGCAGACATTTAAGGGGATATGTCAGAATATTTTTAAACAGATTCCTCCATAAAGAACTTTCTAAAGGGTGGACTCCCCTTCTATTGCTAACTAAGGAATTAAGAGAAAGGTATCAAACTTGAAAAAGAATATGATTGTGCAAAGATGAGTGGCAGGTCAGATGATTGGCCAAGCTATAAAGAATGGAAGAGAATTACTAAAAAGGAGGAAATAAAAGAATGAAATGTAAAACAGATAGCCAGAGTTTCAACAGGTACTTAAGAAGGAAAAGAGTTATTAAAGTGAGTGTTGATCCTCTAAAATATGAGACTGGAGAGTTAATCGTGAGCACAAGGAAATGGTGGATGGAATGAACAAATATTTTGTTTCTGTTTTCAATATCAGACATACAAAAAAAAATTCAAAACAACCCTGTAAATTAAGAAGAGGAAGGGAGAAAGGAACTTAGCAACATTACAATCATGAGGAAAGTGACGCTCAGTAAACTGATGGAGCTGTGGACTGACAAGTCTTTGGATCCAGATGGACTTCATCCTAGATTCTTAAAAGTGGTTTGCTAATGAGCAAGTAGATACATTGGTATTTTGGTGTTCAAAGTTTCCTAAATTCAAGAAAGGTTCCAGCAGACTGGAAAATGTCAAGTATAACTGCCCTATCAAAGAAGGGAGGGAGGCAGAAAACAGGAAATTGAGAAAGAATATATCACTAAAGAGATTATAGCTGAGCACTTGGAAAAAGTCAATGTAATCAAGAAGAGTCAGCATGGTTTTATAGGAACTAGGAGTGGGAGTAGACAATTCAGCCCTTTGAGCCCACTCTGCCACTTAACATGATCAAGGCTGATCTTATCCTGGTCTCAACTCTACTTTCCTGCCTGCTTCATAGTTCCCTTTATCCTGCTTTTCATCAGAAATATATAATATTTCTTTCTTGAATCTATTGATTGATTCTGCCTCCACTGCACTCAAGGGCAGTGAGTTCCACAGATTCACAATCCTCTGAAAGAAGTAGTTTCTCCTCATCTTAGTTTCAAACTTACCTCCTCTCACACTATATCAATGAGCACTTGTTTGAGACTGTTCCACAAGTGGGAATGTCTGTTCAACATCCACCTTATCCTTTAGATTTTATATACCTCAATCAAATGCCTCCTCATTCTTCTGAACTCCGGTGAGTACAAGCCCAAACTATTCAAATCCCCCTTGTACGACAGCCCTTTCATTCCTGGAATCAACCTGGTGAACCTCCTCTGAACTGTCTCCAGTGCCACCACATCCTTTCTCACGTAAGGAGACCTAAACTGGATGTAATATGCCAGATGTGGTCTTAGCAGTACCTTATATAATTGTAACAACACTTCTTTACTTTAATAATCCAGTCCTTTTGCAATAAATGCCAGGACTCCATTTGCTTTTCTTATTATATGCTGCACCTGCATACCCATTTCCTGTGATTCATACACAAGGTCACCCTGATCCGTCTGCACTGATGCACTTTGAATCTGCTTCCCACTTAAATAATAATTTGCCCTTTTATTTTTTGGGCCAAAATGAACAACCTCACACTTTCACATTGAACTCCATCTGCCAGATTCTGTCCCATTCTCCTAGCTTATCAATATCCATCTGTAAACTCTTTATCTCCTCATCATGCCTGGTTTCCCATTTTAGTATTATCTGCGAATTTTGCAGTTAACTATCCCTGCTTACAGATCATTTATATAGATTGTAAATAGTTGAGGTCCGAGAACTGTGCCCCCCGCCCCCCAGTGCAATTCACCATCGAGAGGAGGACTCATTTATCCCAACCCTCTGCTTTTTGTCCTTTTAATAAAAAGGAAATGATGTTTGACCAATTTATTGGAGTCTTTAGAAGGAGTAACACATGCTGTAGACACACTATACTTAGATCAGATAGGCTACCATGAAGTGCTTTTGCATTAAACGAAATCTTATGGTATGGGGTAACATATTAGCATGGATAAATGTTTAGCTGGCTGGCAGGAAACAGTGTATGCATAGATTGGTCTCTGTCTGATTGGCAGGATGCGACAAGTGGAGTCCTACAGGGTTTCTTGCTGGACCATCAACTTTTTATAATTTACATCAAAGACTTGGATGTGGGGAAATGAAGGTATGATATCTAAATTTTCAGGTGACACCAAGTTAGGTTGGAAAGAATGTTGTGAAGATGACATCAGCTATCAATATCAATCTGCATTCTTTTTAAGTGAGTAGGCAAAAATCTGACATATGGAGTATAATGTGGGAAAATTTGAAGTTGTTCACTTTGGCAGGAAGAATAAAGAAGTCATAAATTTAAACAGTAAATGACTGCAGAATTCCAAGGTGCAGATGGATCACTTTGTTCTAGTGCATGAGTCAGTGTGCAAGTGCAGCAGATGAGCAAGGCTTTTGGATATTTTTAAAATGGGGATTGGTAGATTCTTGCTAGGCAAGGGTATCAAAGGTTATCGGGGGCAGATAGTAACATGGAATTCGGAGCTCAAACAATCAGTTGGAATTTTGTTGAATGATGGAGCAAGTCTGAGTATTCGAATGGCTTAGTTCTGCCTCCAATTTGCACATACCAATTTATCTGTGTATGTGGTACACAAAGGACAGGTATGTTTTGAAATGAGTGATTTAAAGAGTTACAGCTTTCTGACTTTGCATGATGAATCTGTTTCCAGTTTGATTTCTGATTCTAATCTGTGGGTGAGTTCTGTATGGGCGGGTTGTTGTCAGGTCAGCAAACTCAAAATGACAGGTTTCCCGAATGGCCTGCAGTATTTTATTGCAGCTCTGCTTTTTCTGTGTGGTCCCTGGTCATGGGCAGCTTGAGCGGCAGATTAGAGGTCTTTTGGACAGGAAATCTCTTTCACAGGGCTGAAGTGTAGGTAGATCCATGTGTAGGGGAGTGGGTTGGGAGGGTGTGCAGTTGGTGTTCAGGTGGCTGATTTCAGGGACTGGAATGGAGGTAGATCTAGTATTGATCATGGTAGCTGACAGATCGCGGAGTTGCGGTTGACGGATTGCTTAGTTGGGACTGTAGGAAACATTTCAGCTCCTCCTGATCCCTAATCATGTCTTAAAGAATTTTACTTATAGATTTCATCTCATCTGGCTGATACCTGGGAAATCTTTGACAATGAAGCCATCTGCCTTCATTCTAATATTTGAATGACCAACCCATTCTTTTGAGCAGACTGAACAACTAGTACGCTTTTTGCTTCTGTTAAGACTGATACTAGGCAGGTTCAACTCCTGACCCATTTAAAAAAAAATCTCTGATATGACCCCAATAAATCCCAGTTCTGGGAGTTGAAATTCAATCCTTTGAAGATCTTCTGTGTTCCTCTGGAGCTCTGAAATATCAGAGCCATTGCATTCAGGGTTTCATTTGTTTACATTTTGTTTTTAGGCTCTTTTATTGGCGCTGCAAATGGAGAACATGGAGAGAAGCATCTTTGTCTTGTACCATCTATACTTTTTTGGGAGATATATGCAACATGTTTGGTGCGCTTCTAGCAAAACAGCTGAATATTCAGGTTGGTCATTATAGTTTATTGAATCTATTTTACTGCAGTTTGTTTCTTCATTACTTGGAGTCAAAATTTCCTTTTGGTTCTGACACCAGCTTCTCTTGACCATTACCTTGCTAGTTTCTCAAAGTGTTTTGTTTTGCAACTTCTCCAGAATCTCCTTCACTTTCATCCTTTCTGCCTCTTTTGGATTTGCACATGTTATCCCTCATTTTATTTTCATCTTGTTTGCCATCAGGAATCTTGATATTTATGTATCTTAATTACTCCTTCATTTATTTAGTTATTTCTTCCTTCCTATGATGTTTTTCCTGGCTCTGTTGACTGTTTGAATCTTGCTGAAACATCTTGTAATCTAAAATGCACTAATTTCCTTTTAATGTCCCAGCTCTGGGATTTGTTCTGCTAATGTTTTGGATACTGAAGTACAGAATTGATTAATTCAATATAGGTGGCATAGTGGTTAGCTCTGCTGCCTTGCAGTGTCAGGGAGCCACGTTCGATTCCAGCCTTGAGTCACTGTCTGTGTGGAGCTAACACATTCTTCCTGTCTCTATGTGGGTTTCTGCTGGATGCTTCAGTTTCCTCCAAAGATATGCAGGTTAGTTGGATTGGCCACACTAAATTTCTCTGTAGTGTGCAGGTTAGGTGGGTTAACTGTGATAAATGTGGGGTTATGGGGATAGGGTGGGATGCTTTTTGGAGGGTCGGTGTAGAATCAATGGGCTGAATGGTCTCTATCTGCACTGTAGGGTTTCTATGATGAAATGGCTTAATATTTCTACTATTCACCCAAAGTAAACTTTACCTAACATTCAGTGCTTCTTTTGGTCATTGAGAAATGGTGCATTGCTACGCTACCTGTTTCAAATTTAAGCTAATTGATACAATTTAATATTGTAATATAAAACAGTTGGAACAACTTGAATTTCTATATCCTTGCCTATGAAAATTATAAGATTAATCTCTTGAAATTTGAGTTTTTAATCAAAAAGATATTCTCCCTAAGCTGCTCAGTGTCTACCAAGAGCAAAAATTTGCCTGTTATATGTGGAGGTGAATAGGATAGCATGCCATATTGGACTTTTACAAAGCTTTTACATACCAGTTGTCAAATGTGCTGTCTGCTGTGTTCTCCTATCCACTGGGGAGTTGGTAACATTACTCTGTCAAAATATTGAACATGTGCTTTTTACTTTATTTACAAGAGGTGTTATTAATTGCACAGAAATAGAATAAAAATAGCTAGTATTACAATGCCTGCATTGAGAAAAATCCTTTTCTTTCAAATGTACAAGTTGTTAGTAACCCTTTCCTCTCTATCTAACATCATTTCACATTGTAATGTCAGCAACGCAAAAGCCATAATCCCCAACTTTTATCTACAACTAAAATCTCTTGGTCTTTACCTCCAGCAGGGTACTTCTCAGCATCTAGCTGAGCTTTCTACCCATATTTAGGAAGTAAACAATACTGCTTATTTAAACCCCAATCATCAAAATATGTTTGCCTTGCCATCTCCATCATTCTAACATTCTACTATTTCAACAATCCTTCTCTACAAGAACTCATTCAAACTGACCTCCAAAAACACTACCACTCCAATAATACTTATTAACGAAGCTTCACTCTCTCTCTCCATGCTTAACCAAATTGATTTTAAATTCTCATCTATGTTTTTTTAACATCTCTTTTCTGGTTTATTTCTGAGCAATTGTCCCCATAGCTCTGATACCAAGTCATCATAATTCCGTTCTACCCTAAAAAATTGTACCTTGAACTACAACACTGCTGCCTTCCCTATGGTTGTTTCGTCATGACAATTTTCAGAAGCCTTACAGAAACACTTCTCTACAATTATGTTTTTTTTCCTCCTCACCCAGCAACTAGGTATCTACTTATTTCTCATTGTGCAAGATTTCTATTAAATTTGTTTACGGGATATGGGTATCACTGGCATTTACTGTACATCCCTAATTGCCTAAAAGCAGTTACTTACGTATGCCAATCATATTGGTATGGTATGGAGTCACATGTAAGCCAGACCAGGTAAGAATGACAGATTTCTTTCCCTCTAGGATATCAGAGAATCAGACAGGTTTTTTTTTATGACAAACCAACTGTGGTTACACGCAGATACACCAAGATATCTTTGTGATGTATGTAGGGCCATTGTAGACTCAGACAGGAAACTTTAGACTTTAACTGTGGTCTTGCTAAAGGCAAGATAAACAATATTTTGATGATTTGAGTTAAAATCAAAAGCACTTCTTAAATGTGGGTAGAAAGTTCAACTTGCTGTTGAGGAGTACTGTGTCGGATGTAAAGACCAAGAGATTTTAGTTGCTGATAAAAGTTCAAGATTATGGCTTTTGTATTGCAGACATTAAAACTGGAAAACTGTTAATGAACTTTTTTATTGCCTGTTTTGGAACTAATCTCTGGACTGATGATATTTAATCATGTACCTTTCATCTTACTAATCACATTAGTTTTACTTGAAGAAAGCATCCAAACCTTATTTTGCATCTCATGCCTTTGTTTTTCTAAATAACTTGTCTGATGTGATTTGCAGATTTATAAAGATCATAATTTTGTAAGAGACAGAATATAAATTTTAGATATTAACTCAGGTTGAAATAAAACCTACAAAATTCAGACTTTTTTTCTGGTTTACCATGCTAAATTTGAGCAATGTTTTACGTATTTTGACCCTGTAATTCTGATTGTAGGGAATTTGTGTGCATTTTCTGTTCCAGTGGCAGAAAGATCTTTTAAAGGGTTAACACAGTGTGGAGCTAGAGGAACACAGCAGGTCAGGCAGCATCAGAGGAGCAGGAATGTTGACGTTTCAGTTCGGGACCCTTCTTCAGAGCAAAATGGAAAGGGTTTTACTGTTCGAATCACACTGGTCACTTCAAACAGTTCCATCAATTAAAAGATTCCCAAAGTATTTGTTTGAATAGAATTCACCAGTAAGGAACACACAAGGAGAAAAAGTCTCACATTATATATATTTGTGTATCCCCAGGTTTTTACAGCAGCTTATATCGCAGCAGTGGATATTCTTCAATTTATACTAATCCTGTTTCCTGTGTGTGGTTCAAGATCCAGATCAAAAACAGGTAGAAACATTGTCGGGTTGAAAAGCATTATGTTCCCTGCATCATTAAGCAATCCTTTTTTCTAATTATTACGTGATAATAGATATTTCAATCTATTTATCAATAAATTATTGGTGGCTATAGCATTTATTCCTAGTAATATACGTTACCGAGCACAGTAATGATCATTTAAGCTGCCACCCATGACTGATGATGTTTAATCATGTACCTTTCATCTTAATAATCAAATTACTTTTACTTGAAGAAAGCATCCAAACCTTATTTTACATCTCATGCCTCCATTTATCTAAATAACTTGTCTGATGTGATTTGCAGATTTACAAAGATCATAATTTTGTAAGAGACAGACTCTGAAAGAAGTTACATCTTCTGTGTCATTTTTTAATCTCTTTCCCAAACTGTTCATTTTTTTGAATGCCTCCAACTGAACTCTTCTTAACTTTGTATTTTGCAATGAATGTAGTCTTAGTTACTCTAATCTGTGAATCCTTAATATTCTTTTTCCAACTTGTCCTCAAGATTTTAAAGGTTTCTATGTTTTAAGTTTTGAGCATCTCTCCTACTCGCTCAACATTTGCAAAAGGTAATTTGAACATACGTTGCATTTCTGGCCCCTTCACACAATTTTGCTAATCTTTCACTTGATTGATAAACTATAGCTGAGTTGGCTGGTTCTTTGGTTTGCGATGTGCAGTTTTTTAAATTAATTCATTCATAGAATGAGGGCATTGCAGGCTAGGTCAGCATTTATTGCCCATCCCTATTTGCTCACAGGCAGTTAAGAATCAACCACATTACTGTGGGTCTGGAGTCACATTTAGTCCAGACCAGGTAAGGATGGCAATTTTCTTCCCTAAGGGGCGTTAGTGAACCAGATAGATTTTTCCTGACAATCGACAATGGTTTTGTGATCATCATTAGACTTCTAATTCCAGATTTTTTTATTGAATTCAAATTCCAACATCTGCCGTGGCAGGATTCAAACATGGGTCCACAGAAAATTACCTGGATCTTTGGATTATCTGTCCAGTGATAATACCACTAGGTCATCATCTCCCTGTGTGATGCCAACATCATGGGTTCAATTCCTGCACAAACTGAGATTACCATGCAGAACTCTACTTTTCACCCTCTTCCCTAGCCTGAGATGTGGTAACCCTCAGAATTAACCACCACCAATCATTTTTTTTTAAATGAAAGAGTAACCTTAGGGTCTGGTAAAGAGAGAGACTTTACCTATAAGAAGGTTTCATTCATTGCAAGATTATAACTGATATGTATACTTTTTAAAAAATATATATTAAAGGATAGGTCAGCAGACAGGTTTACTGTAGGGATTCAGCAATTATCATTACTTACATCAATTGTTGCACTCCAACAATGCTACTGGTTGGTCATATGTTGTTTTATGCCTTGTCTCCTTGATGGCCATTAAGCTTGTATATGTAATTGTGTTTGTGTCAGTGTCCAGCTCATGCTTATTGATGTCAATATTCTGCACACACTTGTTTGGTAGTATCTTACTGTAATCTCCTGGGTACACCTCAGGAACCAGATTTAATGCTTTGGGGAATCTGTGTCCTCTGACACTGCATACCTTGCAAAGGTCTTGGAAGGCAGGTCAGTTTTGCAGTTGGTACAGAGAACCATGTTTCCCCTAATGCTTGCTTGCTTTGAGTCTTGGCTACTGCACCAATACTGCTGGTTTGACCCAATGCTTCCAGGTGGTACTATCCAGCCACAATATCTTCATATTTTCTGCCATCTTTTAGAAGTGTGCCAATATTGTGAATTTTTTTCGTTCTCTCTGGAAGCTTCAAATCAGTGTTGAATATACGACTAACTCCATTACCAATTCAGACAACTCAGCTCCTGATAAATTATAGTGCTGGCTATCCCACAAATCAGGTGCTTACTGTCTGCAGAGTACTATCTGTAGAGGGACTAAGTGCTTATGATTTCAAGGCATATAAAACCTCTGTATTGCACCAAATTCTGTCAGCTCCAGTGGTCCTTGAATCTGTGCTGCCACCTTTTTGTTTCTGGTGCCTTCACACAAACCCAAAGATCTTATGCACAGGATTGATAAGCTTTAAGCAGATTCAATTTATTTGAAGGCTCCAACTGATGGATACATATATCTGTATATACACGTGTACATTATAGGATAGCTCCACTCTGGGGATTCAGCAAAGCTGCTGCAGCAATATAACTGATTCCTGGTCTCACATCACTTTTACAGCCTGGTTTCTTGACAAGAACTGCTGTTATTCCAAATAAATACATTCTAGCTATAGGTAAACACAACAATGGACTATCAATATTTCACTCTCTTTTTAGTTGAAACTCAAACCCATTTTTTAAGACCCCTACAGACAAACCCAGACAGACAAAAAAGATTGGTGCAATGGATGGAGGGAGAAAAATTCTGTGAAGCAAGTTCAATAACACTAGTCCACAGGGTTCAATGAGATATTTCCTTTGCTTCCAAAGTCCTTCTATTTTTCAATCCCCTTTCTGCAGGTTCTTTAACATTGTAGGAGGAACAGAGCCATTGGTATAATAATTACAAACTCACATACTTACTGGTTAAACAACAACTTGTAGGAGAAAATAATGGGGTTGTTTCAGGTACCAGGTACTTTTACAGCAAAGAGATAGAAACATAGAACCTGCTCTTCAAGCTGGAAGCTTCTTCCACTCCACAGTAAACTCCCAAGATGCTCACCTGGCCAGGAGCCAATCAGAGAGCTATCATCATGCTGATGACCTTCGATTCCACAACTGGTCACACTGCTTGCAAAGCAATCATATGAATGCAACTCGATGAGTTCCAGTAACTTTTTTTCAAACATGCAGCAATTCCTTCCTCAGTCCTTCATTTTAAAAACAATCCTTTTTGCAGTTTAGTTTTCAATCAAAAATATAGAAAATAAAACGATTTGGTCATTATTGGTCTGTTAGAATTGCCCGATAGTTATATTAGAAATTAAGCATCGTGAACCCCCAGTGCTCCCCATCCAGTAGCAGCAATGTAATTTCCTGAGAGTGGGCAAAAATGTAGAAGGAATAAAACTTTAAACCATTTCAAGGCAAAACTAATTTTGGGAAATTCCTTACCAACCTAAAAAGGTGCTCAAAATGAGCCCCTGGAGAACACAGTAAGTACTTGGTACATCACCCAAAAATCTGCGTACGTTTTGTATTCTATTAGAAGGAGTGTACTTGTACAGGGACATCTTCAAGGTTGACATACTGTTTGTGATTTGTAAACAGATCGGCCAAGACAAAGGAATAAAAGAAGAAGAAGTGCCATGTTCATGGCTTGCTTTCCTTTCGCAATGGGCACAAGTTACTACTTCTGGACTTCTCCTGTTCCTCAAGTGGATATTCGTGGACCAAGAAGGAGACTGCTTACCACACTACTTCAGGTGAAATAGTACTCAAGTGGTCAGTTGGCTGTTCATTTAACCTAAACAAAGATCATCTGGACAATTTGCAGACTCAGGAAAGTTATTTTTGAATTAAGCTCTTTTACTTTAACCTTGTGAGTTCCCAGTTACTAATCTGATTGAAGTTTATCTGCATTTGAAAATATAACTGAATTGTTTCAATCACCTCAGCCTGGGGTTTTGCTTTCCATTGATCTCTCAGTGTTGACACCTGTCATTGATACCAGCTATTAGATCATTTTTACAGCATAACAACAGGCCATTGGACCCAGCAGATCCATGTTGGTATTTATATTCTGCACTGGTATCTTGATGTTCTTAACTAACCCCATCAACAAACCACTTCTTTCTCATGTGTATTTATCTAGCCATCCCTTCAGTGTACCTTTGCTCTTTTGTTACCCCAATTCTTTAGACTAAAGAATTGCACTCTCTCCAGGTAAAGAATTTCCTTCTGAACTCCTCAATGGACTTATTTGTAACAACAATATTTATGACCCTTAGTTTTGCCTTGCCTGCAAGGAAAATACCAAATCCTGTATAACCTATCATAATCTTAAAGACAATCTGCTGTGACATCCTTCAGTCTTTTGTGGAGGAAGAAACTCCAGCCTATTCTATTTCCTAGTAGGTATACCCACACAGTGGTATGAGTCTAGGAAATCTCCTTTGCACCTTTTCCAGTGCTACTGTCCTTTTATAAACTGAAGATTAGAATTGTTCACAGTGTAGCCTAAAGAATGTTCACTACAATTTAATGAGCTTCAGCACTTTCTTTTATTCATTCATGGGATGAGAGCATCACTGGCTGGGCCAGCATTCAATGTTTGCGATGTGATCCTCTCAGTGGATCTTAAAGATGGTGTGGAGGCAGTACTGAAGGAAATGCTTCAGAAGGTGCGTATGATGACAGAAAGGGCTCATGTCTCACTGCCATACAGAAAGATGGTGAGGACTGTGACTGCATACACTTTTGAGGTTGGACTTTGCCCTGAGGCTGTCGTTGCTCCATACTCTCTTGTAGAGTGTTCTAAATATGCTGTTTGCTTGCAAAAGCCAATTGTCCACTTCCTTGTCTTTAAGTAAATTGGTTGATTGCTTTCAGCTCAGACAGTTCCGTTCCCTCTCTGACAATACTTAGTGGTCTATATTCTTCGTGGGGCATAGGCTCATGTAGGGCTTCACTTTTCTTTGAACTAATCTTTAATTAAAAAAGTTGAGCTGCCCTACGTTGCAGGTCTGACTGGATGTGGGCCAGGGCAGCAATAGTCATCAGTGAGCAGAAGATCATGGATGAGTTTTTCCTGATTCTTTGTGAGCCTGAAGGTACCTGATGTTGATAAGGTTGGAAGCGTATGTAAACTCCCTCCTTAAAGGCTTCCACTGCTGACCACAGCATCATGCTGAAGAAGATGGTGAATAAGATCAGGCTGTCTCACAGCCCTACTTCCCACCGTTGAACATTCAGAAGGGGTTCAAGAAGTCGGTGTTGTGTTTGTTTTGCCCAGACTGGCGATCATGGTGGGTCAGGCAGCATCCATGGAGAGGAAACAAGCTGATGTTTCGAGTCTAGATTACTCTTCATCAGAGCTGATGTGAAGTATAGGGGGGCCAGCATTTATGCAATTGTGTGTGTGTGCGTGTGTATGTGTTGGGGGGTGGTGGTGTGTGGGGGTGGTGCAGTACAGAGTGCTGGGGGAGAAAGGATGTTGAAAGTTCAGATTAAGTGATTGCATTGTGAGAATAGCAGAACAATGGTGTGTCTAACTGCCAGACTGGAAAGCACAGACAGTCGCATTGAAGTGGGGGAAGGGGAGAGAGGACATGGTGACAGAGAATGTAACAATTAAAGCTAAAAGAAAGGGAAGGAATGGGATCACTTAATCTGAACTATCAACATCCTTTCTCCCCCAGCAGTCCACACCTCCCCCCTACTATTGCATAAATGCTGGCTCTTCCACACTTAAACATCAGCTTTGATGAAGAGTCATCAAGACTCAAAATGTTAGCTTGCTTTCTCTCCATAGATGCTGCCTAACCCACTGTGTTCTCCAGCATTTTATGTTTTCAGGACAGATTCCAGCATCAGCAGTAATTTGTTCCTACCTCTGGTTTTCATGAAACTGCTGCACCATGTTCTGGGACCTGGATGGCCTCCAGATTTTTCAAGGCTATTCCAAATTTCACCTATGCTCACATTGTTGAATATCTTGATGAAATCTACAAAAATGATGTACAGGCTTCTGTTTTGCTCACAACACTTTTCTTGTATTTGCCTAAGTATCATATCAGTGTGGCTCTGACTGCAGTGAAACCACACTGGCTGTTTGGAAGGTTTGCTTCTCCTGAGACGGCCAATGCAGAAATATTAAAGCTAGGATCTTCCTAATGGTAGAAAGGAGGATGCATTGTGCAGTTGGTACTGAAGAATGTTTCAAAGTGCTCTGAATAGAGATCCAGGACAGACTCATTGTCAGTGTGTGGTGTCTTTCCGTTGGCACTCCTAAGGGTGTTTTTCATTTGCTGTGCTGGTTCAATGACTTTGGAGCTTCATAGAAGCTCTTACATCACCAGTATCCAGGTACAGTTGAGGTTTTTCCTTAAGTGTGATCCATCAGTCATTTTGGATATTCCCCAATTTAACAGTTGAAGTGTGCTGTATGCTTGATGCCAGGCTGTCATTTTCTCTTGGCTGGCTGGCTAAGCCAGATGATGAGCTAATCTTTTTATTGCTTTTAGATCTTAGATTTCGTACTCATTTTCATCAGTCTAGCCCCTGTTCTTCAAGGTGCCAAGTCAAAAGATATCATTCGAGGTATCCAAGCTTTACGTGTTCCCAGAGTTTTTCTTGAGTGCAATCAGCAGTGAGATCAGAATGTTCCAGTCTCATCTAAGATTGCTTGAAATCTTGCACTGCAAGATGGTGTTGATGGGTTGTCTCTAGGTCTGTTCTTGAGGTAGAATAAAAATGGAAACTCAGTTTGAACAGATGAGCCAGTGGTCCATATGACAGTCAGCACTGGATGTGATTCTTATACGTCCACTTGCTAACCAATCTGTACTCTCCTTTTATACAATAAACTTTAAATTAGTATTCTTGCAAATTGTCATAGACTCATACTGCACGGAAACAGACCCTATGGTCCAACTCTTCCTTGCAGACCAGAGATCCCAATCTTACCTAGTCCCATTTGCCAGCATTTGGCCCATGTCCCTCTAAACCCTTCCTATTCATACACCCATCCAGATACTTTTTAAATGTTGTAGTTGTCAAAATCTTCACTACTTCCTCTGGCAACTTTTTCTGACACATTCCACCCTCTGTGTGAATAAGTTACCCTCCAGGTCCTTTTCAAATCTTTCCCCTCTCACTTTAAATTTCGACTCCCCCATCCGAGAAAAAACACCTTGGCTATTCATTCTATCCATATCCCTCATGATTTATAAACCTCTATCAAGTCATCCCTTGGGGCTCTGACACTCCAGAGAAAATAGACCCAGCCTATTCAGCCTCTCTCTATAGCTCAAACTCTCCAGTCCTGGCAATATCCCTGTAAATCTTTTCTGCACCCTCTCAAGTTTCGCAACATCCTGCCTATCACTAGGAGACCAGAATTGAACACAATATTCTAAAAGTGGCCTCACCAATATCCTGTACAGCTGCAACATGATGTCCCGACTCCTGTATTCAATGCTCTGATCAATAAAGGCAAGTGCACCAAATGCCGTCTTCACCATCCTGTGTACCTGCACCCCGAGGTCTCTTTATTCAGCAACACTCCCCAGGACCCGACCATTAACTGTATAAGTCCTGGCCTGATTTTTCCTTGTCAAAATGCAACACCTCACATTAATTTAAACTAAACTCGATCTGTCACTCCTCGGCCCATTGGCCCACTGATCAAGGTCCTGTTGTATTCTGAGATAATCATCTTCACTGCCCACTACACCACCTATTTTGGTGTTATCTGCAATCTTACTAACCATACCTCCTATATTCACTGTTGTCATGTAGAAAATGTGACAACTTCTCACAAATAGCAACAGAAAATCTGCTTTTGGGATGTTAACTAAGGGATTGGCCAGCGCAAGAGGCAGAACAGTGCCTTGGAATTTTTGCATCCACTCAAACAGACAGATGGGGCTTGGGTTAACATTGGATCTGAGAGTGCAGCTCTCCCTCTGAGCTGGAGTGTCAGCTTTAATCTTTCTGCTAACGCCCTAATGAAGATCTTGAACACTAAATCTTACAACTCGGAGATGGGAGTGTGACCAACAGGGAGCCACGGCCTGAAGAGTGCTAGACAAAGAGTTGCAACAAAACGTCTTTTTTTTAAATCAATACTTGAGTTCTGTACTACTAAATGACTAAAGTCTATACTCAAATTCATTATGCTGATTTATAATTCAGAAAAAATTATTTCCACTGGTTGTCACTAAATGGTAAATATCTGAAACAATCACCAAAAAAAAAGAGAAAGAGCAATAGAATTATTTTACTGTAGAGGGTTGTTAGGACATGGATTCCTTCCCACAAATAGTGATGGAAGCAACATTCATAATTTGTTTCATTAAAAATAAAAAAAAATTCTGAAAAGTTAAGGGAGAACAGCAGTAGAATAGGTTTAAGTGAGTTGCTTTTTTGGTATTGATGAACATGATGGAATTTAAAGTTACAGAGAAGTTTTTTTTCTTTAACATACCTATACCAATTGTTGGGTTAGTTGAGCATTGTTCACTTCATGCTCCTCTCTTTTGCTGAACATTAGAGAGATGCGAGTAGTGTTTCCATCCAATAAGAGAAAAGTCACAAGAAATGCTTGTACTTAAGGCAGACCTTCATGTCCATAACAGGAATCTCAAAAATCTGGATTACTTCAAAAAATCAACATAAAGTATTACTGCAGCTTCTCTCTGTAGTAGTTTCTTACAGTTGGTGTAATACCCTAGACTTTGGCTCCTTGCATTCAGGAGATTTATGACCATGTCCATTTTAATACTCACTCGGGCCGTATTGTTTGTTGTGTTATGCCTCACAGTTAGTATATCTTCAAAAGACACTATGTCAATATGCCGTTAAGACATGTCCTCTTGATTTTATCACTTCCTGGTATATGACCCAAGTTTAAAGGTATCTCGTTCTGTCTTAACCCACATTACTTGAAGCATAAGACCATAAGAAATAGAAACAGGAGTAGGCCGTTCAGCTTCCGGAGCCTGCTCCACCGTTCAATAGGATTGTGGCTGATTTGATATCCCTCACATCCACTTTCCTGCCCTTTGTCTGTATCCCTTGATTCCCCTACTGATCAAGAATTTATCTATCTCAGCATTGGATTTGCAGAAGGACTCTGTCCCCACAGCTCTCTGTAGCCAAGAGTTCCAAAGATTCTCATCCCTCTGAGAAAAGAAATTTGCACCCCTTAATTTTGAAACTAGGTTGTCTAGTCCTGGACTCTCCTATGAGGGGAAACTTCCTCTCAGCATTTACCATGTGAAGCCTCTGATGAATCCTATATGTTTCAATGAGATCATCTCTCATTCTTCTAAACTCCAGTGACTAGAGTCCCAACCTGTTTAAACTTTGCTCAAAAAACAGTTCGTCCATTCCTGGGATCATTCAAGTGAACCTTCTTTGAACTGCCTTCAATAAAAAAGATTTTTTCTTAAATAAGGGGACCAAAATTGCTTATATTGCTCTAGATATGGTCTCACCAACACCTTGTACAGTTGCAGCAAGACTTCCCTACTCATACACAAAGTCCCTTTGAAATAAGGGCCAACATTCCTTTAGTATTCCTTATAACCTGCTGTACCTGTGTGCTAGCTTTCTATGTTTCATGCACAAGTACTCACAAGTCCCTTTGTGTTGCAGCTTTCTGCAGTTTTTCTTCATTTAAATAATATTTTGTTCCATTTAAATGATGTTCTTGTTCTTTATTCTCCCTTCCAAAATGAACAGCTTTGCATTTTCCCATATTGTATTCCATTTGCCAACTTTTTAACCACTTAACCTATCACTATCTCTCTGTGAACTGTTCATATCCCTCTCACAACCAGTATTTCTACCTATTTTAGTGTTGGCTGCAAATTTAGCTACAATACATCCACGTCCTTCCCTCAGGTTATTAATGTATTTTGTAAACAGTTGCAGTTCCAGCACTGATCCCTGTAGAACCCCATTGGTCATGGGTCACCAACCTGAAAAAGATTCCTTTATCCCCACTCCCTGTTTCATGCCCATAAGCCAGTTCTCTATCCATGCCAATGTACTACCTTCAACACCATGGTTACTTCTCACTGAACCTTTTGTAAAGTACCTTGTCTTCTGGAACACTTCTGCTGGTTCCTGTCTATCCACCCTGGTTGACACTTCCTTGAAAAACTCGAATAAATTAGTCAGACATGATACACATCTGAATGCATTCCTTTCTTGTAATCTATTAGCCTAATGTTAATTTAGGTAGGTCACGCCTCTGAATGGAATGTTCGTACAAAATAGCTAGTTGTAATAAATTTCTGTTTGGATTCTTCAGTACCATAATATCCTCATTACTCTCATGTAAATCTCACATTGGTATTATTTTAAAAGTAAATTATCTTCCCAAGCAACAGTGGAAAAAATTCCTACAGGGTGGTTTTATTTATCTGTGGATCATAGCAATGTTGACCAAGGTTTCTGAAAGTCCTTCTAGATTGTGATAATATCATAGATGTGATCTGACTTTACTTTGCCAAGCTTCACATTGTTTGCTTTGAATCTGATACTAGATATGCTTAGACCTGAGTTTGTTTTTTATTCATTGTTGGCTACACCTTTTACCTTGTATGCAAATTAGTAACCTGTGGCAGACAAGGCCGCATTTCTTCCTGTCGTTTCCTGAAATCTGTTTCTCTGTGTTAATATTAGCAAGTGGCAAATATTGGAAAATTTCACTAATGTTTGATTGTGACATCATCATCTATGAATATAACTAATATTTGTCAATTCACTGTTATAAAATGCATTGTTTTTATAGGATAACACAGAAATCATTGGCTATGCGCTGGGGGTGATTGCAGTTTTTATTGCCTGGACGTCAAAGTTTCCTCTGATACTAAAGGCAGTAAGTAATAATAGGCACAGTTACTAATTATGGAGCAATTAAATAAGAGGTTAGAATTAGAGGTTCATGTTAAATGTTTGGAGGGTTCTGGTGTTGACAGAGATCATGGAAGTAGGAAGAGGTGAGTGAAATACCTGAAATTTTGGATTTTTAATTAATGCATTACTTGGATTTTTGCATAAAAGTCTGGTTATGAAGTGATTCCAAATGTTGCTGGAGTTGATGGCTCTGGTAAAAGTTGTTTTTGTCCTCCATTGTGACTTTCTATCTGACTGCAGGTGGACAGAGTGAAGGTAATGTACTCATTTGTTCATTTAGCTGTTGGAAAAAGATTTCTATGACAGTGATTAAGATTGTCCTGATGTATCCAGTTTCAGTGAGGGATACTCACTTTCTTTGTACCCAGAAGCTACTTGCGTCAAAGTTACTTGATGTATGAGCGATTGCTCTGAGATGGGAGATTTGTTGTGAGTAGATTGGTTATATATCCTATTTGATTTTTTTCTTTCTATTGAACAACAACAGCAACAACTTGTTGCTGGTATATGGTATCATTTTACACAATGAAATATCCCAAAGCAATGCATGGGTCTATTATAAAACAGCATTTGAAAATGAACCACACATATAAAAATTAAGTCGTATGATCAAAAGCTTGACCAAAGCGTGGATGTAAAAAACATCTTAAAGAGAGGCACAGAGTTTTACAGTGAATACCAGTATTTATGATCTTAGCAGTTAAAGGCACAGCCAAAAATTATGGAGCAATTAAATTTGGAAACACTGAAGAGTCTGGAATTAGACAACTATGATAGATATTTGGAAGTGTTTTGGGTTGACAAGGATCATGGAGGTAGGGAGTGGTGAGGCCAGAGGGGGTTTCAAAACCAGGAGAAGTGTTTTAAAACTGTGGTAGCACATAACTCTGAATCACTGTAGTGTCAGCAGACATAAGGATGATCAACGATTGGGTTTTGGTGTGAGGAGGGTCACAGACAGCAGAGTTTTGTATGACCTCAAGTTTTCAGAGCACAGTAAGTGGGAGGTGACCAGCAGTAAATTGAAATAGTCAAATCAAAAGGTAATAGATCTTGAAACATTTTAAAATCGTGTTTTTTTTTCTATTTTACAGTCTCAGGGGAAGATTGATTGTATTCTTGAGAAATGGGCCCTAATGCTTTCAATTCCAGGGGGCTTACTGTATGCTGCTGCCGCTCTGGCACATGAGAAAACTCCTGCGTTTATCTTGCAAGCTTTACCCTGGCTGCTTATCTTTCTGGGTGGTGCAGCTATAGATCTTTCTGTATCCTTTTCCAAATGGTAGATGTTGTTTCTTGAGATCCAGGTAAGTTTGATAAGTAGATTTGTTTTTACTTCTTGGTTTGATTTTTTTGGTTTAACACAATAATATGATGCTTCAATTAGCCAAAGATCCAATGTTATTTAATTCTATTCTGTCAAATAGTTTGTGGCCTATTTTAAATGTTCAACAGGAAATGAATTATGTCTTGTTTTAACCTTGGCTTTTGCTTAAGTTCCTGGTAGAAACAAATCAATTATGTGGCCATCTCTTGTGACTCAGATTCATTTATTACAAGTTAGTGAATCTGCCAGTGAGCTCATTTTTGCAACCAAGAGCTTTTCATTTGTAATTGTCAAAAGCTGTGTGTTAATTTGACAACCACACCTTGTGCATCAAATTATGGAAAGCAGTAAATTGAAAATGTACTAATAGCTAAGTAGAATGTCATTAACAAAATGTTGCAACTTATGTTCAAAATTTATCTAAATATGAGAAGAATGTGTTTATTTTCAAATATGATGTTGTGATGTAGACTGAGAGATTTATATATTTTTAATATCATTTATTGTATCTTTTTGTTTTTGGATTTTGAATTAGTAACCTGTGGGGTTTCTCTGTGTCTGAATTTAGTAATTATCTTGTAAGTATATCTGTAACTATGGTAACTTTTAAACCCGTTTTTGAGGCCTAGCTTTAGAAGTAATGGGTCATCTACACTGGTAAAGTTTTATAACCGATCAAAATAAATAAGCTCCAATTTAAAAAGCCAGGACTTTTTTTTAAGTTAAGAGTAACACCAGTATCGATAGACAGAGAGAGTTTTTTAAATTAGTTTTACTGAGCTTTGGACAGTCCTGTGAAATCCTTCAATTAAGATGCCTGTGTGGACCAGTGCTTCTGAGAAGGGAGGGATGGAATGCCACTAGATTATATGAAAGTGTTAGTATTAGTCGCAGACCAGAAGTGTTGGGATAAAATGCTGAAGAGGTTGCTTCAAGCTGAATTCTCTTAAGCTCAGGTATATGGATAGCTCCAGGAAAAAGCTATTTGCAGTTGCAGTCTATTAGTTAAAGTCACAAGTGATTTAAACCTTTTGTTGTAAAGTGGAGGTCAACCCCCTCACCCCACTTCCTCGCCACCCCCCCTCCCCGAAAACTAAAACCAAAACACCCAGAGAGGCTCACCTCACCCTATAATCTGTTAAAAGAAGTGTAAAAAGTGGTATAAGCTGCCTCCTACCCCCAATCTGTTATAAAAGAGTGGTTAAATGAAATAAACACCTGACACTCACTCTATAATCAACAAGTAATAATTTATTTATCCAACTCTAACAGAGAACAACTTAACTGAACTATTAACAAACTGAACAATTCCCCTCAAACTAATAACTATTTTCAAATAAAACTGTTGTTCCCATAAATATAAGTACCACTTATATAAACCAAAATTAAAAAATTTAGAGTTTAGTCTCTTGAAATTACAGCCAGGTTACACCTTCCTGAATGTTCTGTGTCTTCTCCATTGATCTTCTGTCAGGAATATTAACTAAGAGTGCAGTGGTACCTTTATTTAGATAATGCTTTCTCTAAGAGCTGAGAGACCTGAACTCTTAGCAGATGGCAGTTCGCTCTCTGGTGATTTTGTAACTGACCCTGTCTTTTATACTCTTGATGACATTATCAGTTTCTTACAATAGGATTAGTCCTATGTTGTCAAAACCATCTGACTTAAATTTATTTGGTTTTTTTGTATCTAAGTGCCTGGTTTAAATTAAAAGGCTAAATCAAAACTTGTCTTGATAACAAAACAAAATTGTGGCTTGGCCTGCTAACCATCCAACCTTTTGTTACAAATGTTACAATTCAGGTGCTCTGTGCACCTGCAAACCCACAAGCTGCCCACAGACTTTTTTTTTAACCTCCAAGCCTGGAAAAAACACATTATCCTTTGAGGGGACCACACACTGCTTTCCTCCCTATATTTATTAAACATCAATATTTTACAAACACCAATTTCTAACATCCTGCCTTCGAATCCACAAGTACTCTACCCAACTATGTAACACTGTCAAAGTGTCGGAGACATGTGAATTTAAGTTTAGAAGGTATGTCTCTGGGTCCTGTACAAGGATGTGTTTTGAGTTCTACGCAAAAGCTGTTGTTTTTTTTTTAATATGTGAAGGAGCGTTTTAGTATTAGTTTAATGATACATTTACTGTGTTTAAAATCTTTTAATTTGTTTACAAGTACTTTTGAAAAATTAAACTTCTGTTTATTGAAACTTCAGTTTATTGTTAAAACAAAATCTGCAAAATTGCAAGCTTATGTTTTAGCAAGAGACCACTTTGTTAAAATGAAAACAAAACACAATCTAATCTGTCAAGCCAGGTTCCAGACTGGGATCTGATGTTTCCAGTAATAACTCAGCTGGAATCATAACAACGTATATCAAAATACATCATACTTTCAAAAAGAAAATGATACCACTCCTAGTAATTGGCATTTTGCCAACTCTGTATGTGATATTTCTGAAATTGCAGTAAGATATCAAATTTGAAAAATGCAAGATTGTTTGCAATGATTTGACCTTTGACAGAGCCTAACTTGGAAGTCTTTGGTGTTACTGAGTATGAACGATAAATGCAGATTGCAATCTACAAATGCTGAACCTGTAGCTGTCACTGTAGTTCTACTTCTTCCAATCACCCTTTTGATTTAATTGCGTTGAAATACATTTATATAAGGAAGAACAACTGAAAATATACTCAAAAGTTCAATGTTTATTGTTATAAAGCAAAGGTTCACCCCTGCCCCCCACGGATAATTAAAACCGAAACACCCAGAGAGAAGTGCCTGTTCCTATAATCTGTTAAAAGGATTGTGAGAAGGGATATATTCTGCTTCTTCAGCAACTTCTAGTGGTTAAGTGAAATAAACCCCTGACACTCACTTTATGATCAACATGTAACAACTTATTTATCTAACTCTAACAGTGAACAAATTAATTAAATTATTAACAAACAGAATAAACCCCTTCTAACTGCTAACTATACCCGAATAAAACAAGATTCTAATGATAACACAGCTTGACACAGCAGGCCAGGCAGCATCAGAGGAGCAGGAAAGATGACGTTTCAGGTTGGGACCCACCTCAGTGACCAATCCCCACCACTGGCTACCTGCACTCACCTATCGCCAACCCACCTACCTTCCCCAGCCCCTTATCCCCGCTTCCTTGACCTGTCCGTCTTCTCTCTCATCTATCCATTCCTCCCACATCATTGACCAATCCCCACCACTACCTGTCACCATCCCACCTATCTTCCCCAGCTCGCGCCCCCCCCCCATTTATTTCAGAGCCCCCTTCCCCTCCCCCCATTTCTGAAGAAGGGTCCCGACCCAAAACGTCAGCTTTCCTGCTCCTCTGATGCTGCCTGGCCTGCTGTGTTCCTTCAGCTCCACACTGTGTTATCTTAGACTCCAGCATCGGCAGTTCTTACTACCTCTAAGATTCTAATGATATGCTGTTCCAATAAGTACAAGTCCCACTTTCATTAAAACAAAAATAATAAAAATAGAATTTAGTCTGTCAAAATTACAGCCAGGTTACGTGCCTTCCAGAATGTTCTTTGCCTTCTCCATTGAATGTTCTGTCAGGAACGCCTTCTCCATTGTATTCTTCTGTCAGTTATATTAATTGGTTGTGCTGTAGGTACTTTGATTTAGATGGTGCTTTCTCTAAAACTTAGAGAAGACTGTGAGAGCTAGTGATTCTCTCTTGAAAGCTGAGAACTGTTAACTCTTGCAGATGGCAGTTCGCTCTCCTGTCAATGCCCAACTACCCCTCCTTTTATACCATTGATGACATATGAATATTCCTTACAATATGATTGATCCTATGTTGTCAAAAGCATCAGATTTAAATTTAATTGGTTTTTGGTGTCTGGGTGCCTGATTCAAATTAATTGGCTAAATTCAAACTTGTCGCCTTGATAACAAAACAAAACTGCTGCTTGGCTTACTGACTGTACAGCCTTTTGATACAAATATTTCAATTCAGGTGCTCTGTGCACCTGCAAACCCACAAGCTAATACCTACAGATATCCATTTTAAATCTCTAAGCATAGAAAAAGCACACCATCTTTTAAAGGGACCCTGCTCTGCTGTCCACCCTAGCATTTTACAAACACCAATATTTTACAAACACCAAATTCTAACATCCTGCTTTCCAAACTACAAATACTCTGAGATAACAAGATGCAGAGCTGGATGAACACAGCAGGCCAAGCAGCATCATAGGAGCAGGAAGGCTGACGTTTCGGGCCTAGACCCTTCATCAGAAAAGGGGGAGGGGAAGGGGGTTCTGAAATAAATAGGGAGAGGGGGGAGGCGGATAGAAGATGGATAAAGGAGAAGATAGGTGGAGAGGAAACAGACAGGTCGAAGAGGTGGGGATGGAGCCAGTAAAGGTGAGTGTAGGTGGGGAGTTAGGGAGGGGATAGGTCAGTCCAGGGAGGACAGACAGGTCAAGGGGGCAGGATGAGGTTAGTAGGTAGGAGATGGGGGTGCGGCTTGAGGTGGGAGGAGGGGATAAATGGGAGGAAGAACAGGTTAGGGAGGCGGGGACGAGCTGGGCTGGTTTTGGGATGCGGTAGGGGGAGGGGAGATTTTGAAGCTTGTGAAATCCATATTGATACCATTGGGCTGCAGGGTTCCCAAGAGGAATATGAGTTGCTGTTCCTGCAACCTTCGGGTGGCATCGTTATGGCACTGCAGGAGGCCCAGGATAGACATGTTGTCTGAGGAATGGGAGGGGGAGTTGAAATGTTTTGCGACTGGGAGGTGCAGTTGTTTATTGTGAACCGAGTGTAGGTGTTCTGCAAAGCGGTCCCCGAGCCTCCGCTTGGTTTCCCCGATGTAGAGGAGGCCACAACGGGTGCAGTGGATGCAGTATACCACATTGGCAGATGTGCAGGTGAACATCTGCTTGATGTGGAAAG